CTCTGGCAGCCAAGGCGAGGAAGGAAGCGTGGAAGCCCGCCCGTCTGCGGCCGGGGATGAGCCCAGGCGCCCAGGCGGATGGGGATGAGCCCAGGGAGACGGGGATGAGCCCTGCGGTCGGGGATGAGCCCAGGGAGATGGGGATGAGCCCAGGCGCCGGGATGAGCCCAGGGGGACGGGGATGAGCCCAGGGAGACGGGGATGAGCCCAGGCGGACGGGGATGAGCCCAGGCGGATGGGGATGAGCCCAGGGGGACGGGGATGAGCCCAGGGAGACGGGGATGAGCCCAGGCGGACGGGGATGAGCCCAGGCGGATGGGGATGAGCCCAGGGGGACGGGGATGAGCCCAGGGAGACGGGGATGAGCCCAGGCGGACGGGGATGAGCCCAGGCGGATGGGGATGAGCCCAGGGGGACGGGGATGAGCCCAGGGAGACGGGGATGAGCCCAGGCGGACGGGGATGAGCCCAGGCGGATGGGGATGAGCCCAGGGAGACGGGGATGAGCCCAGGCGGATGGGGATGAGCCCAGGGAGACGGGGATGAGTCCTGCGGCCGGGGATGAGCCCAGGTGGCCGGGGATGAGTCTAGCGCAGCGGCTCCCCCAGTCTGAGGGTGGCGCGAAGCCAGGCGTGGCCGTACTCCGAGGATGGGCCTTAAGCACAGTCCTGGCGGGGCTGCAGACCTGCCCTGGGGCGGCTGCGCGGTTAGGGAAGGTGTCTGAGTGAGACTGCCTCCCAGTCTCCCTGTGGGTCCCCAGGCTGCTCTGTGACCCTCTCAGCAGGTCGCAGGGTCTCCATCAGTGCGATGAGGGGTCTGCCCTCCGTGAGAACCCAGAACACTTCCAGGTGTGACGCCTGGGCCAGGCCCCTCCCCAGGGCAGAGGAAGCCGGGGCTGCTGGTCCCAGCGGGCAGCCTCTTGCAGGCTGGAGCCTGGACCCTGGTCTCAGACCCACAGGACTTAGTCCTTGTGTTTCCCAGTTCTTTTATTTCCTCTCCCTTGCTTTGTGATCTTGGGAAGTCACTTTATCTCTTTGAACTTAAGTTCCCTCCCTGCCAATAATGGGGTGGCAGTAATGAAAAAGGCCGTATGTACCTCGAGCTTGGCACATAGACGTGCTCTGTAAGTGACCGCTACAGTGCTTGTCTGTCTGCAGTGCCCTTGGGGACGTTTGTACCACAGCTGGGTGCAGTTCAGGCTTATTTAAGTCTGGGGTTTGCAGCCCTGAGGGCAGATCATTTAAACACTGCTGATGCCCGGGCCTACACGAAGACTGGATTTAATTGGTCTGGAGTGGGCTCCATCCCGTGATTCCCATGTGCAGCCAAAGGGTGAGGACTCCTCACTGAGGGATGAGGCCAAGCTTGAGAGGCTTCCTGAGCTGGCAGCAAGCTCATCTCCCTGCCCTGCTGTTCCCAGATGGCACTCCCCACGCTGCCCCCCTCCTGGTGCAGCGGGAGACTCCTGGACCAGCAGGTAGCACGGCAGCGACACCGAGAGCAGGAGGCCCGGCTTCGGCAGCAGTGGGATGAGAACAGCCGCTACTTCAGGATATCCAACGCCTGCAGCTCCAAACAGGCGGAATGGAGCTCCCAGGCCTCCTACCAGCGGAGGTAACTGGCGACCGAGATTGGACGGAGGTGGGCGGCCACGTGCTGGTCAGGGGATGTCTGTCGTCTTAAGAAGCTGGCGGAATATGGCTCTGTTGCATGTTTTCTCCAGGGAGTTGCTGGACAGCACAGATTGCCTGCCTGGCGATTTTTTCCAGCTGGAAATTGGAAAAAAGATAATCAGTGAAGCAATACATTTGCACTGAAAGAAATAAAATGATAAGAAATGTATGTGGAGCCTGGCTGGTGTGGCTCAGTGGTTGAGCATCGACCTATGAACCAGGAGGTCACAGGCTCGCTGCCCAGGAAGGGTTGTGCAGGAGGCAGCTTATTGGTGATTCTCTCTCATCATTGATGTTTCTCTCTCCCTCTCCCTTCCTTTCTGAAATCAATAAGAAATGTATAAAAATGTTTAAAAAAGGAAAAGAAATTTATGTAGAATCTGGAAGTCACCTTGTAACCCCACGTCCCCAGCCTGATTGCATATCCTCCCATACTTTTCCCCATTTGTGTTTGTGTATAAATATATACACACACATGCACCTTATTTGTGTAAAAATACTAGAGGCCCGGTGCACGGATTTGTGCAGGGGGGCAGGGGGGTGGGGAGCCCTCCTCTCCGGGTCCTGGTGCAGGTGAAGCAGATTCAGATTCAGGGCCGACAGTGCCCCAGCAGCAACCTCACCCATGGCTGATTCCGCATGAGTCAGGCTCCCTCCTCTGCTGTTTGGAGTGTCTGCCCCCTGGTGGTCATTGTGCGTCATAGGTGAACGGTCAGACAGTCGCTTAGGCTTTTATAGAGAGAGAGATGTAAAAATATGGAAGTTAAAAGCAGAGGCTTCAGAGTCCGACAGGCCTAGGCAGAAATCCTGACTGTGTCTCCTGCCCGAGTGAGCCTCCGTTTCCTCGTCAGTGAAGTGGGGCTGAAGCTCTGTAGGATGTATGTGTCGAACCAGCGTGGTTTTATCTGGTGCATGGTAACTGCTCAAGTAACATTCGCTAGTGCTGTTACCGTGTGCACACGTAAGCGCATTACACGTTTTCTTATTGCAGGTACAGGGTTCTGTCCTGCACAGTGTCCTGTGACCTCCATGCCACCCTGTTATTGCACCTCAGCCTCTTTATCCAGGTCGCCGTGGCCCACGTGGCTGACTGGTGGCTCCATCTCACCCAGCATGCACGCCTATCAGCGCGAGAAGATGAAGGAGGAGCAGAAGAGGCAGCTGGCGGCCAGGCGGGAGAGGCTCCAGCGGCTGCTGCTGGAGGAGCAGGACCTGCTGGCCAGAGAACTGCAGGAGCTGAGGCTGAGCATGACCTTGAGGGAAAAAAGAATTCGGGAGCAGCACAGGACTCTCAAGTCAGCCCGGGAGGAGCAAAGGAAGCTGGTACGTTCTCACGCCCTCGGCAGCATCCCAGCCGTCAGGGCTGCGCCCG